GAAAGATGGAGACCACTTATGTTTCACATTTATGCGTTTGTTTTTTTGCATGAATATGAACAAAAAATTGGAAAATATTTATTCTTGCCCGATGAAAACATTACGTATGCATACTCATGTATAAATGCATATATTTAAATTAAACTTATGCCATCTTTATATAATAAACATGGGTTTGGTAACAAAGCCGCCATATACACACTTTATCCATCAAATCGCCCGACACACAACTTTTTTGCACTCTAGATATGCAAATTTCCAGATGAAAATAAAACATAAGTACACTCATATATAAATGCATAGACTTCTTATTAAACTAATGCATTTTTATATAAAAGTACACTGGTTTTGTTTAAAATAATGATCACTTTTATCCACAGATGCCACAATGCCCAAACGGCACTTGCTGACAAACAATTGGCACTTACAAACACTTTTTATACCCGAGCGTACTTGTGCACAAGGGTATTATAATCTTGTTCACATAACGGTTGTTTGTAACAGGCAAAACGAATCGAGATAGATATAGACAAATGTATACATAAATGATCAGAATGAAAAGAGAAATCGATTAAGCGGTGACTGTCTGTCCGTCCGTCCGTCTGTGCACACGATAACTCGAGTAAAAATTGAGATATCTTAACGAAACTTGGTACGTGCACTTCTTTCTAGCATAGGACGGATGGTATTGAAAATGGGAAAAATCGGACAGTAACCACGCCTACCTCCCATATAACGGTAAGAAGATTATTCACTCAAAATTGATATTTATAATAAGTTTTAGATGAGAAATAAGAATGTTATAAATTTTTGGAAAATGGGCGTGGCCACGCCTACTTATGGTTACATGTGTATATCTTGATAACCGCTGCACCAATTTCTTCAACACTTAGCACAGTGGTTGGCCTTGATGCAGCATACTAAATGGCCGAAAATTTTAAAAAGCGGACAATAACGGTAATTTAGAGAAATACGAAATCTGCGATAAATCAGTAAATACTAAAGCTAATTTATCCAAAATTGAGGCTTGCGACAATTCTTTACCAAGAAATACGTTTATTATAAAATTTTGGAAAAAGAGCGTGGCACCGCCCACTTATGATCACATATATATATATCTCGGTAACCGTTCTACCAATTTATACCAAACTCGGTATGGTTATTGCGCTTGCCACATAAAAGCAAACCATTGAAAATTATTAAAATCGGACTAAAATTACGGCTGATTTTCATATAACGGTAAATTTCA